ACTGATGTTAATCCCTCTCCCTCACACTGTCACTCAGTAACCCCTCTCCCCCCAGCACCCTGTGTTACCGACTGTATCTGTACTGATGTTAATCCGTATTGCAGTGTCCGATTAACCAAGTGTTCTTTGCAGAAATGCACGGACCCAGTGTGCCGCCTGAAGGAGACCCTGCATGCACACCACCCTCGGGACTGTCTGTCCTATCTGAGGGACTGGCCAGTGAACAGACTAAAGACTCTGCTGCAGGTAACAGCGGGAGAGAGCGACTGGCAGGACACTGTATGTGGGAAACCGGGGGCTGAGGAGGAATCCGAGGTGGTGCACAATACATGCCGAAGGCGAGAGGGGGAGGGAACTGGAGCCTCAGAAGAGCAAGAGGGCAGGCGGGAGGGAATTCTGGAGTTAGGGGTGACCCGCAGGGTATAGTGGGCACTAGGACAGAGTGGAACTACAGGACACTCTGTTTAAAACTGAGGGGTCTCCCTTTGAAAGGGGAAATGAGGAACAGGCTCGGTGAATTTCAAGGCTGAGTTTGAGAGTGTTTCGATTGAAGAGGTGGGGTGAAAGGGGAGGTGATGGGGGGAACAGGAGAGCTGGTGGTGAGGCTGCGATCAGACCAGACACCACTGTAATCAGATGGTGGAGGAGATTGAGGGGCTGAATGGCCTCCTCCAGCTCCTGGTTTCCTTTTGAGGGAGGGAGATGACACTGGGAAGGAGGAGGAGGGATGAGAGTATGAGGGAGATAGAGGGAATGCTGTGGGGGTGGGCCCGTATTGTGGAGTGAGAGGAAATGCATGGTGGGTACAGGCCTGTGACGTGTCAGGGACTGTGTGAGAGGGCATACGGAGTTCACTGTCTGTTTGTGCACCCTGACTGGGGATTTGAGCTGTTCACTTCTGCTGACAGGCTCCCAGTGACACTTGACCACTTATTCACTACTCACTCTCTCTCTCTCTCTCTCTCACTCTGTGTGTGTCACTCTCTCTGTCGTCACACTCACTCTCACTCTCTCTGTCTCTCTCTCTCGTTCCTGCAGAACAACAAGGTGGCGTTTGACACAGACCCTCCCACTGGTGCTGAGCTGACACCAGGAGGTAAGTGCTATTCCTGACCCAGGGCTGTGAGTGACAGCGGGACCTTCCTGTGCTAAACCCTGCTTACTTCCTCCCCCTCCCGTTCTCCTCCTCCTACACCTCCACCCTCTCCCCTCCTCCACATTCTCCTCTCTGGAGTAGGAGTTTACTCAAAAGGGAAATCAGGAGGGCAAAAAGGGGACATGACATAGCTTTGGCAGATAGGGTTAAGGAGAATCCAAAGAGATTCTACAGATACATTAAGGACAAAAGGGTAACTGCGGTGAGAATAGGGCCCCTTAAAGATCAGCAAGGCTACCTATGTGTGGAACTGCAGGAGATGGGGGAGATACTAAATGAGTATTTTGCATCAGTGTTTACTGTGGAGAAGCTTATTGAAGATAGAGAACATGGGGAAATAAGCAGTGATATCTTGAAAAATGTCCATATTACAGAGGAGGACGTGCTGGACGTCTTAAAATGCATAAAGATCGATAAATCCCTGGGACCTGATCAGGTGTACCCTAGGACTCTGTGGAAGCTGGGAAAGTGATTGCTAGGTCCCTTGCTGAGACATTTGTATCATCAATAGCCATGGGTGAGGTGCTGGAAGCCTGGAGGTTGGCTAACATGGTACCACTATTTAAGAAAGGTGGTAAGGAGAAGCCAGGGAACTATAGACCCGTGAGCCTGACATCGGTGATGGGCAATTTGTTGGAGGGAATCCTAAGGGAAAGGATTTACATGTATTTGGAAAGGCAAGGACTGATTGGGGATATTCAACATGGCTTCGTGTGTGGGAAATCGTGTCTCACTGACTTCATTGAGTTTTTTTGAAGAAGTAACAAAGAGGATTGATGAGGGCAGGGCGGTGGATGTGATCTATATGGACTTCAGTGAGGCGTTCAACAAGGTTCCTCATGGTAGACTGGTTAGCAAGGTTAGATCACACGGAATACAGGAAGAATTAACCATTTGGATACAGAACTGGCTCGAAGGTAGAAAACAGAGGGTGGTGGTGGAGGGTTGCTTTTCAGACTGCAGGCCTGTAACCAGTGGCATGCCACAAGGATTGGTGCTGGGTCACTGCTTTTTGTCATTTATATAAATGATTTGGATGTGAACGTAGGAGGTATGGTTAGTAAGTTTGCAGATGACACCAAAATTGGAGGTGTAGCGGACACTGAAAAAGATTACTTCAAAGTACGACAGGATTCTTGATCAGATGGGCCAGTGGAACAAGGAGTGGCAGATGGAGTTTAATTTAGATAAATGTGAGGGGCTAGGACTTATACACTTAATGATAAGGTCCTGGGAGTGTTGCCAAACAGAGAGACCTAGGGGGTGCAGGTTCATAGTTCCTTGAAAGTGGAGTCGCAGGTAGACAGGGTGGTGAAGAAGGCGTTTGGTACGCTTGCCTTTATTGGTCAGTGCATTGAGTACAGGAGTTGGGAGGGTCATGTTGCGGCTGTACAGGACATTGGTTAGGGCCACTTTTGGAATACTGCGTTCAATTCTGGTCTCCCTGCTATAGGAAGGATGTTGTGAAACTTGAAAGGGTTCAGAAAAGATTTATAAGGATGTTGCCAGGGTTAGAAGGTTTGAGCTACAGGGAGAGGTTGAATAGGCTGGAGCTGTTTTCCTTGGAGCATCAGAGGCTGAGGGGTGACCTTATAGAGGTTTATAAAATCACAAGGGGAGTGAATAGGGTGAATAGACAAGGTCTTTTCCCCCAGGGTGGGTGGAACTACTAGAGGGGCACAGGTTTAAGGTGAGAGGGGAGAGATTTAAAAGGGACCCTTATCACGTAGAGGGTGGTGCATGTATGGAACGAGCTGCCAGGGGAAGTGGTGGAGGCTGGTACAGTTAAAACATTTAAAAGACATCTGGCTGGGTACATGAATAGGAAGCGTTGAGAGGGTGTCTTATGAGAACAAGTCTTACGAAGATAATAATTTTTCAGGAGACAGCAGAGCTGAGGGAAGTGGTAAGTTTTATTCCTGTATCGACCAGTACAATACAAGGAGGGGCCAAAGACTTCTCAGAATCTGGCCTCCGTGCGAGGTTTCAATTTCCCTCTTGATCTGCAGCTCAGCTCGCAAGAAACATCGATGACACCCTGATTCCAACTTCAAGTCGAATGCCTTTTATACATTTTTCTTTTGAGGTTTGTTGGCTCGCCGAGCTGTTTTGTTGTTCCGCAGACGTTTTGTTCCCGTGCTGGGTAACATCCTCAGTGCAGCCTCTGATGAAGCGTCGGTGTGTTTTCCCGCCTGGTTTTTAAACTCTGGGGTCCGTTGCAATGGGTTGCCTCACTTCCGGGTTTCCTCCGGAGAGGAATGTATATGGGGTCGAAGCAGGCTATTAATAAACACATTGAACTCGACCCCATATACATTCCACTACGGAGGAAACCCGGAACTGAGGCAACCCATCGCAACGGACCCCAGAGTTTAAAAACCAGGCGGGAAAACACACCGACGCTTCATCAGAGGCTGCACTGAGGATGTTACCCAGCACGGTAATGAAACGTCTGCAGAACAACAAAACAGCTCGGCGAGCCAACCAACCTCAGCACCCACAACCTGAGCCACAGATCTACTCCAAAACCTTAGAGACCTACAGGCGCAACATTTTTCTTGTAACATTAACATGGCAGTACATGTTCCCTCCGTGTCTGTACTATTGGTTAATTAGTGCTGGGTTCTTCAACTATGATTGGGTCCCTAGAACATCATTCAATTAACAGCCTTGTTGCTATGATCCGAATGGGCCCCTTCTGGTTTGTGGGAAATTGAACATTGTTGCTTATCACTCTATCTCTCAACTAGAACAGATAAGGCAGGCCCCTCGTAATTAGTTTTAAATCTTTCTTTGTGGTATTTTAGTGATTACTATGCATCTTTGTATAACACCTCAAAATCCATATCTGTGATTATCTTGAAGAATCTTAATTAAAACCTTCTTGTAGTAGAACTGGTTGATTCGAAAGGAACTTGAATAACTAATTGGTACAAAATGTTTTTATCGTTAGGATAGTAAAGATTGTTGCACATTCAAGCTCACTGAAGTCAACAGACTGCTGCTGTGCACGGAAACAAGTGTTTCTCACACTTTCTACTTTCTGTTAAACACATACTGTCATCGGCTATTTTTGTCAGTTTAGGATATCTGGTCGGCAGGGACAAGTTGGACTGAAGGGTCTGTTTCGGTGCTGTGTGATTCTGTGACTCCTCCCCTCCACGCCCTCACTCCCACCCTCTCCCCCCTCCCCCCCCTCTGCTCTCTCCGCTCACCTCCCCCCCCCCCCCCCCCCGTGACCCTCCCAGAGTCTGCCCTCCAGCCCCTCCCGCTCCTCTGCTCTCTCAGCTCACCTCCCCCCGCCCCCTCCTCCGTGACCCTCCCAGAGTCTGCCCTCCAGCCCAGTCTGTTTAAGGTGGAGCTTGAGGGGTTCTGCTCACTGACGTTGTGAAGGGTCACAGGGAGACTGCGGGGAAAACCCACAGGAAGTGCCTGAAAGGGCCGAATGGTCAAGAGATGAGAGGCAGCTTGTCTTCTGAAGAGAGAGTGAGCAGTTAAGCCGATAAACATAGGAGAGGAGACCTGATTGAGGGATGTAAGATGCAAAAAGGGACTGAGAAAGTAGATGTAGAGAGAATGTTTCCTCAGGTGAGACCATTTAAAACGAGAGGTCATGGTTTTAGGATAAAGGAGGGGGCAGATTTTAAACAGAGATAGGGAGAAATTACTTCCCTCCAAGGGTGGTGATATCTGTGGAATTCACTCCGCAGGGTGCAGCGGATGCTGGAAGACAGAGCAAATTTAAGAAAGGAGATAGATTTTTAATCGGGAACAGGTTGAAGGGTGATGGAGAGTGGGCAGGGAAGCAGAGTTGAGGCTGAGATGAGATCAGCCATGATTGTATTCAATGGTGGAGCAGTCTGGAGGAGCTGAATGGCCCCCTCCCTCTCTCAGTTCTTCTCCTGCTGTTGTGTTCCCAAGTTTGCTACCGTCCTCCAGACCATCGGAGGAGAATGGGCCAAGGGAATGATGTTTCTGATGAGCAGGAACCTTGTCTGGGCAGCTGGAGGCAGAGAGGAGAGCGAGCTAGGTAATGGTGGGGGAAAAGGGCTGAGCCCCAAGGTCTGTTGAACGAGGGACGTGTATGTGTCGGTCAAAACAGTTTAGTTTCTCACTCTGTCCTGTTGCTGTATGTATATGCCCAGGTCGCTGTCGAGTCATGGAGCAGAGGGAAGTGGGGGACAATCTCACCGATGCACCGTGTGGGGCAGAAGCTCACAACGGACATGCAGGACTGTGCGAGTGAGTGAACACGACTGTGTGTGCTCCTCCCTCCCTCTCTCTCACACCCCGTTTCTCTCTCACTCCCCGTCTGTCTGTCTCTCTCTCTCACTCCCC